GTCCAACTAATATCAAAGCGGAGCTAGATTCTACTCTGGGGGAGTCTGCTCCTTCGTTTACAACAGTAAAATGTATATATTGGGTGGCAGAGTTTAAACGAGGCTGTACGAGCTGCCAAGACGAACATCGCAGTGGTTGACCAAATGAGGTGACCACGCCAGAAATGGTGAGGAAAATCCACAAAATGGTATTGTATGACCGTCGACTGAAAGTGCGCGAGTTAGCAGACATGGTAGGCATTTCAAAAAGTGCTGTACATCGCATATTGACTGAAAATTTGGACATGAGAAAGCTGTGCGCAAGATGGGTTCCGCGATTACTCACAATGGAACAAAAACAGCGTCGTGAGGATATCTCAATCGAGTGTTTGGCGAAGTTCCACAGCAATAAAGCTGAGTTTTTGTGTCGATTCATAACCATGGATGAAACATGGGTCCATCACTTCACACTTGAGACGAAGGAACAGTCAAAACAATGGACTGAAAGGAGAAAATCGGCTCCAAAGAAGGCGAAGACAGTTCCATCTGCAGGCAAGGTCATGGCGTCAGTTTTTTGGGATGTGCGTGGGATAATTTTCATTGATTATCTTCAGAAAGGAAAAACAATCAACGGTGAATATTATGCGAACTTATTACAGCATTTGAGTGATAAAATCAAGAAAAAACGGCTACATTTGGCGAAAAAGAAAGTTTTGTTTCATCAAGACAATGCACCAGTTCACACATCCGTTATCACGATGGCCAAAATCAATGAGTTAAAGTACGAATTGCTTCCTCACGCACCCTATTCGCCAGATTTAGCCCTCTTGGATTATTTTCTGTTTCCAAACTTGAAAAAATGGCTCGGTGGTAAAAGATTTGCCAACAATGAAGAGGTGGAGTCTGCGGTTGATGGCTATTTTGAGGAGCTCGGCGATAAACAGGGTATCGAAGCTATTGAACATCGCTGGGAAAAGTGTATTGGGCTAAAAGGAGACTATTTAGAGAAATAAAGATATTTTTTCCCAAATTTTTTGTGTTTTCTTTGTTAGGTCAGGTACTTCTGGGACTACCCTCGTATAACGCATTATTGGCTATATATGAAATAGTGACGAGAGCTTGAATAATCTAATCTGGAAAGTATCTCCAAAAACAATGTATAGCGGAGTCATTATTATCGAAATTATTGTATATACAGCTACTTATATGTTTAATAATAGTGCAGCTTCATTATTACAAATAATGCATGCAATGAACATAAGTGTCGGGCCGAACGCATATCAATATGCTGCACAGGAGGACAGCCGTCGCATCGCGCAAACAGAGAAACAAGCGTTTGAAAGTACTAAAGAAGCACGAATACGTCAACAAAATATTGAAGATCTGGCTATACCATCCGTCGCAGAAAATCTATATTATAGCTCTGGTATCGATGATTCAATGTAAGTTTAACAAATTTCATGTTTTATCAACGACTAAACATTCAAACGCGTTTTCCTCGAAACGATTTTTCTCACACTGGTACCAGAAATTACTCGAAAATCACTGAACCGATTTACCTGCAACCTTTTTTTACATATTCTATATATAATTCTGTATCGCGTATCGTAAGATTTTTTTTATGATACTTTGTTTTTTTTTTTACAGCAGAAAAATGAATGAACTTTTCCTTGAAAATCGCTATGTTAGATTCAAACGTCCGCCATTTTGTCAAAAAACAATATTTTCAAAATCGGCTACAATACGCGAAAAATTATACTATTTATTTTAATATTCTATTTCTCTTTTTTGTTTCAGTTGAATTTTAGGAAAGCTACATCTGGTACCGATGATACGGATTTTTTTAATACTGCTTCTTCGTTTACTTGTATCTCCATTATTTGTTATAACTACTGACCATAAAAAGTATTCTTGAATATTCTTAAACCTGTATATTTTCATATAAAAAACTGCCAATCCTACAACTTCAATGGTTTTCCAGAAAAGAAATTCTCGAAATTCGGCTTTTTTCCGGGCTCCTAAGTGTATATGCCCTCTTAATGTTTAACTTCAAGCCAAACTGTCAAGAAAAAAGTGAGACTAAAAACTGTCATATCACTGAATGATACTTTAGCCATTTCTGGAAAAATATTCTAAAAATCAAAATCTTTCCATAAATCAGAATAACATAACACGATTAAAATTCCAAATGTTCAAATTTTCCAACAAAAAGTCAAATTATATGTATAAATCAGTAATATATACAGGATATATATCAGTAATATTTCCTTAATATTGTATTATAATAAGAAATATTGTAATTCCTTAATATTGTATTATAATATGAAATATTGTAATTTAACTATGACATTTCTGTAATATTATTCTATAATATTACGTGCTATGTGGGGGATATGCACTTTCGACGTACTTCTCAACGATATTTTGCTAATAATAAACATAGATCCACACGGCACAGAAAGTTGCAGCAACATTGCTGCAACTTTTGTGCTATATAGGTTGATAATAGCAGGCCTATTATCCATTACGTTTAATAATAATTTTCAATCGTATTAAAATTCGAACAACTTGTCCGTTAAATTTTCGGCAGACTTGTATGTGTGCAAAATGGTTTTGATATTTCTTCGACATATTTCGAGACGCAGCATCGACGTGCAATGGGAAAATCTGTTCTTCAATGATTCCCAAAGACAAGTTTTCTTATTGGATGTCAAAAACGTTTCGAAGTGTGTTTAAAAAAAAATACTCAAACCATTCCTCTTTTTACACATAAAATGCCATGTCTATTTGGCTAAAACACATCAAGAGAGAAGAATGAAAAGATCCTTAGAATTATGCTCATTGACAAGTCAAAATGTTCTATTTTTATTTTATTTATTACTTTATTTATTTTATTTTATTTATTTATATTGTTTTATTTATAATTATTTATATTATTCTATGTTACTGTTATTTGTTATCTTATTTATTTCATTTCATTTGAAAAAATTAAAAAGTCGTTATGAACCATTAACAGATAAAATGTTTTTTTGTTTATCATGAAAAATATAAATAAATATAAAATATAATAAGTCTTAAATATTAAGCCTGTTAGACTCATGGACACGTATTTTCCTTCGAATTTATTTACGAATTATTTATCTACAAATTTCTTTTACATTTATATAATTGTTTAGCAGAATGTAACTATTTACTCAAATTGTATTTTCTGCATTTTTTTATTAACAATATAAAATATATTAGGTTAATCGGAAAGTTCCATCCGCTTTTTTGCAAAACGTATGGCTTCATTTAAGAAACAAAATGAAAAAGTACATCAATCAAAATATTGTTCACCGCTAGCGATTACTTTTTTCCATCTTTTGGTCAGCAAACGAATTCCGCGGCGAAAGAATGACTCATCTTTGAAAGCTATCCAGTCAGAGACCTATTTTTCGACGTCTTCATAAGAATTGAAGTATTCATCAGCAAGTGCGTGTGCCATCGACCGAAACAAGTGGTAGTCGGAAGGGGCACAGTCTGGTGAATAAGCCGCATGGGGTAACACTTCCCAGCGAAGTGCTTTTAACGTTTCCTTGACAGATTTTATGACGTGAAGCCGAGCGTTGTCATGAAGCAAAATCACTTTATGCTGTCTCGTTTCATATTCTAGTCGTTTTTCGTGCAATGCTCGGCTCCAACGGATCATTTGTTCTCTGTAGAGATCCCCTGTGACTATTTAATCACTTTTTAACAGCTCATGGTACGTCACACCCTTCTGATCCCACCAAATACAGAGCATTGCCTTCTTTCCGTGGATATTCCGCTTTGGCGTCGATGTTGAGGGTTGGCCAAGATTGCAAATAATTTTTCGACATTTGGGATTGTCAAAATAAATCCATTTTTCATCTCTAGTGATGATACGATGTAAAAACCTCTTTCTTTGTTGCCTAGCGAGCAGAATTTCGCAGGTGGTTTTTCACCTTTCAATGTCTCTTGGCTTCAGTTCATATGGGACCCATTTTCCTTCCTTGTAAACCTTTCCTAAGGCTTTCAAACGATCGGAAATGACAGATTAAGAACAATTTAATGCTTCTGCAAGTTGCTTTTGCATTTGACATGGGTCTTCGTCTACCAATGCCTGCAATTCTTCGTCTTCGAATACTCTTGGCCGTTCAGAACGCTCTTTGTCCTCTACGTCAAAATCACCAATTTTAAAGCGTCGAACCATTCTCTGCATGTTTTATCGGAAGGAGCATTATCACCATAAACTTCTACAAGCATTCGATGAGCTTCAGCTGCAGTTTTCTTCCAATTGAAGCAAAAGATTAACACTTCGCGCAAATGACGCTTATTTGGCTCAAATTTCGACATTTTCTATGCAGTGAAAAACAATGTTATTGTTGCAAACGTATACTTTTATGTACTGAATGTTATTGACAGATGTCAAAACAAACTATTAAGCTTCGTTTAGACATTAGAGATTAACGACAGTTCTAGCTATAGCTACTTGTCGCTAAACGGACGGAACTTTCCGATTTACCTAATAATACAATAGATTAGTCCATTCAGCCTTCGAAAATACATTTATAACATCAGAAAAACAATAGCATGTCTTAAATCTATTGAGATGACTTAGTCTAACTGATATATTCGCCTTACAAAGTATATTGTGCAGTTAATCTTAGGTTATATTATTTAACCTAGTGAATACTTGTTGTCACACATTGCGCATTTCTCGAGTATCGGCAGCTGAGTCAATCGAAGTTATGTGAGCAAATTGATTATACTTAAATATTATATTGAACATAAATTTATGATTTATGATAGAATAAACTGAAATAAAATAATATGAGATAAAGTAAAATAAAATAAAATAAATAAAATGCAATAATATAAAGTAATTTTGTTTGATTATATTTCAATTATTTGACTTTGTATTATTGGTAGCTTTATTTTAATAATCTCTTACTGTACTTAGTACTTAATGATTACACTGTCGTTATGTTGGAAATGCTGGATATTTTTGTTCTTTCACGTAGACGAGTGTACATGTGGCGACATCTCTAGTCACCGCGATACCGTCGGTGAGGTTATTCCACAATACGCAATGCCATCTATTCATGAACTCGGCGAGCCCAGTCGTCGATTTTGACGGTTTTGCCTCTATTCCACGCACGTGTAACTGCACGGACCGCTCGTTTTTGACGCACAAGTGAGTAATATCCGTAAATTTTGCCGAACAGCTGGTCAGGAAGGCACACACACGTCGACATCTCGAGACATTGCGCGTTCGCGAGTATTTGTGACGATCCCGCGAGAGTGATCAAGCCTCTTGTCTGGTGCCGAGGTGGGTTCTCGTTACCTTCTCCTGTTTCCTCTCACAACGGTCGTCTCGCGTCGTGGCCGTTTTTAGGGTGACGCTCTCGCATTCTCGCGTTGCTGGCAGCGTTTGCCCTTGGTACGCACGTGCAACGCGCGAATTCTCTTAACCTATGCCTTATATAATGCACAGAAGCGTCGCGATCTGGCCCTCCCGCCGAGTTCTCTAACCTCCCCGAAGCCGCGATAATAACGGCTGGGTAACGTTGCAGGTGTAAGAAACGCGATGCCGTCTGACGCGAAGAAAAAGCAGCAGCAGAAGAAGAAGGAGGCCGCGAAGGCCCGACAATCCGGCAAGAAGCCGCCGCAGAGCAACAATCAGGTGAAGACGACCGAAGATGGCAAAGAACAGAGTCCGACGTTGACGGACTTGCAGAACGGTACGAACGGGACGGCTATCAGTGCTGAAGGTGAGTGAGAGAATGAGAAAGAGAGAGAGAGAGAGAAGGGATAATAGAAAAGGAAATATGTTGTTGTATAGCTTTTTTTAAATAACACCCTAGAAAAATATAAATTTGAATATTAGATCTGTTAATTGGGTTATGGTTCAAACTTGTTTCTATATCTGAAATTTTTTTTAATCATTTTTAACATATATTCAATGATAAATTATTCGTCGATCGATATCGAAACGATATCAAATCGACGTCGAAATCGTCAAATCGGATAAATGCAATATTTAGAAAAAAAAGGATTTTATGCATCTAGATTCTCAAATAATATTTTATTCTACATTTACTCTTTTATAAAAAATTACAGTTTCCTTAAAATTTTAGGAATATTTTTATTTTTATTAATAACAAAAGTAATGGTGTTTCTCTAATATGAATAATTTATCTAAAAACTTCTTATTTCTCTCTGTAATATATTTTTAAATATCAATCTTTCAATGAAAACCAATATTTGAGTTTTTATAAATAAAATTATAACATTTAACATATCTGTAACAATTTATATCTCATGTATTTTATAACACATATATATATATATATATTATAGGAATTTTTCATAATTTTTCTCTACATCTATAAACATGATCTTACCTCATCAAACACTTGTTAATATAATATACAAAGATGTATATTTACAGAGGCATTGTGTCTGAAATTGGAAGCAGACGCCAGACTGAATGCGGAGGCACGTTCATGCACCGGGTCACTGGCTTCGCACCCACGCAGTCGAGACATAAAGATATCAAATTTTTCTATTACTTTCCATGGCTGTGAACTGCTGCAAGACACCATGTTGGAGTTGAACTGTGGTAGACGTTATGGTTTACTAGGTCTAAATGGCTCTGGAAAGTCTACATTGTTGGCAGTATTAGGCAACCGCGAAGTTCCTATTCCGGAGCAAATAGATATTTTCCATTTGACTAGAGAAATGCCCGCAAGCAATAAAACAGCATTGGAATGTGTGATGGAGGTTGACGAGGAACGTGTGCGACTTGAGAAACTTGCTGAAGAATTAGTAGATTGTGAAGAGGAAGATGCTCAGGTTTGTCTTTGATTTCTTCCTCACTGTTTTTTGCGAATTATAAGTTATAATTTATCAATAAAAGAATACTTGTATAAGAAAATATTCTATTTTACATTGTATTATATTTGATATTACATTGCAGGAACAACTCATGGACGTATATGAGAGATTAGATGATATGGCTGCTGACACAGCGGAAGCTCGTGCTGCTCATATTTTGCACGGTCTTGGTTTTACTGCGAAAATGCAAAGAACGCCTACCAAAGACTTCTCAGGAGGTTGGAGAATGCGCATTGCTCTTGCTAGGTATATAAAAGTTTTACAAGAGTCTAAAAGAATATTTAAATTCTTTTTGTATCCAATGTCTCACTGCTCCTGATGTGCAAAATATTTACATTTTTACTTAGAGCTACATATAAATTTGCTCTTTTTTATTTTTTTTTATTTAGAATAAGTACTTAGAACTTTCTTTATACAGAGCATTGTATGTAAAGCCGCATTTATTGTTACTTGACGAGCCGACCAATCATCTCGATTTGGATGCTTGTGTATGGTTGGAAGAAGAGTTAAAAACCTATAAGCGAATTCTCGTTATAATCTCCCACTCTCAAGATTTCCTTAATGGCATTTGCACCAATATCATACACGTTAATAAGAAACAATTAAAATACTATACTGGCAACTACGAGGCATTTGTGAAAACACGGTAAGCTGTGGGAAATAAATTAAACTTTGATAAATTTTACTTCATGATATTTCCTTGATTCTAATGGTATTAAATGTTTCGATTAGAATGGAGTTGCTCGAGAATCAAGCGAAGCAATACAACTGGGAGCAAGACCAAATCGCGCACATGAAAAACTACATCGCACGATTCGGACATGGTTCGGCGAAACTAGCGAGACAGGCTCAGTCGAAGGAGAAGACACTAGCGAAAATGGTAGCGCAAGGTCTGACGGAGAAAGTTGTGAACGATAAAGTATTGAACTTTTATTTTCCATCATGCGGGACGATTCCGCCGCCGGTCATCATGGTTCAAAATGTCAGTTTTCGCTACAACGAAGACTGTCCTTGGATCTACAAGAATCTCGAGTTCGGAATCGACTTAGACACCAGAATCGCGCTGGTTGGACCGAATGGTGCAGGGAAGAGTACTTTGTTGAAGCTGTTGTACGGTGATGTACGTTGCAAATATACATATTCCGTCGAAATGCTTGACTTTCTCATCAAAATTAAACTACATCATGTTGCAGTTGGTACCGACAAGTGGAATGATTCGGAAGAATAGTCATCTCCGAATAGGCAGATATCACCAGCATCTTCACGAATTGTTAGACTTAGATATGTCGCCTCTCGACTACATGATGAATGCCTTCCCTGACGTCAAAGAGCGCGAAGAGATGAGAAAGATCATTGGCCGCTATGGTTTAACTGGACGTCAACAGGTACAATTTGTCGACTATTCACCTCTGCGTGTTCATACATTTACAAATGAGCAGTCAGGTTTAATTGCGAACGTATGAAAGTGCGCCGTTATTAACTTGTATTTTATATAGATTTGCCCTATTCGCCAATTATCCGACGGTCAACGTTGTCGGGTCGTGTTCGCTTGGTTGGCTTGGCAAGTGCCTCATCTGTTACTGCTTGACGAACCTACCAACCACTTGGACATGGAGACGATTGACGCGCTCGCCGACGCCATTAATGACTTTGATGGCGGCATGGTTCTCGTCTCGCACGACTTCAGATTGATCAATCAGGTGAAGTAACCTCACAAGAATCTCATAAATAACGCACAAGAATTTCTATGTTTCAAGATGTCATACTTAAAATTTAAAACTTCACTGATAAAATACTGACTTTTCTACAGTGATTACGTCATATTGGTTGCACAGAATTACAAATGCTTTTGCACAATGAAAATATATGCAAAAATGGATAGGAACATCGCTCAATGTATAACGAAAATAGTGAAAATTTTCAAAATTGACAAATGGTTATACTTTTACAATCGAATTTTAAAACTTAAAAATATATGAAAAATTTGCAAAAATATGTGTGGTTATATGCTCTTTTTACTAAGTATGATAAAACATAGCAATATACATTTATATGAGAACTACATGAGTAAGAAATACGAAAAGGATAACATGATGCTTATTTGACGTAACGTTTGATTGATTTCTTCTCAACGTTGTCTCGATTTTTTTGGAGTTAGCATAATTGGTTAATGCAGAAATCAAAAAATTCATATCCAAAAAATTCAAATTCAGATCCCAGGAAGATGGTAGTAAACCGTTGAGATATATTTGCCAAGAGAAATTTCTCAAAACAATAGAAATATCTCCGGACATTTCTAACAACTCAAAGTCCGTTTAAAGCTCATAGGTTCCTTATACTTGTATAAAATCTACACGTTATAAATATAAGAGAGAAATCACTACGCTTTGACAAGAACAATAGAACTAAAGAAAGTCTATTTTGGTACGCTCTTAATACAAGAAAAGTAATTTAACGTTCTTTTTGTTCGACGTTTAGGTTGCCGAAGAAATCTGGGTATGTGAGAACGGAACAGTTACAAAGTGGAGCGGGAACATTTTGGATTACAAGGAACACCTGAAGAACAAAGTCCTCTCCGACAACCAGAAGAGGCAGAAAGACCTCGCGAACAGAGGCAAATAATAAGGGGTTTCTCGATCGTGATCCGCTGTGTTTCCCACTTTCCACTGCACCATACGTTTCGATTATAGGAATTTCGTTCGGAAAATCGCATCAGGCTGAACACCGAGTGCACGCTGCTGTGTAGCGTGACGGTGCAGCAGTAAGGTTACTTAGTTAATTTATTAAAATATTAGGCCAAAATTATATCCTCCGCTCCCATCAAACCGCAAATGATCGCATTGCGGCGCACTTCTTGCTACGATGTAAGTCTAAAATGTGTCGAAGGAAACATGTCGCACGGAAGTGCAGATAAAACTTAATTAAGTAGATTACCAATGCACGAAAATGAAGAATGATTACGAATGACTTGGAGAAGAAGAAACAAGTAATGTCTCTTTTGTGGTCAACTGTATTACAAATTTCTGTTCTTATAGTCTATATAAAATAATTTGATTCTCTCTTGCAAGGATATAAAATATTGTAACATGTACAAACATACAGGTACAATGGATTACATAGTTCCAAAATACATTTTTATCTATGCATATACGTATATAAATTATATATGTATATATATATATATATATATATTTGTGTGTGTATGTGTGTGTGTGTGTGTGTGTGTGTGTGCGTGTGTATGTGTGTGTGTGCATATTACATATATATATGTATGTATATATACACACATGCAGGTATATATAACTATAGGAATATGTCAACATGGAAGACCGCCGTTTCTGCACATCTTTACATTACGAAATCTCATTCGTTAGACGTTTCAAAACTGATCATTTAAATAACTCTCATGCGATATACTTCCGACGTGTACCGTGACGAAAAATGTAATGTATACAATTTTTATAACAACGATAATCGACACGAAATGTCTGACGAGTTTCCTTGCATCAGTGATCCTGAACTTTGCGTTCTTTGAGATTCTTGAGATCAGCAATGACCTATTTCGCGCATCGCCAGCCGAAAAGCATGACATGATATGTATACATATCCTGATAGTATCCCGAATAAAATACACCAGGATATATACACATATGTACTTAATGTGTATACTATATTTACGCAAATCTAGCAACTGTATTACATAGGGTGACACCGAACAAGATAGCCAAACTTCGATATCGTATTCTACTTTTCTTAAGGATGAAAAAAGGTCACATAAACTCTTCTTTTACGATATATAAACTTTTTGTTTATGATTGAACATTGTAGGAATGTTTAAAGCTTACTTAAAGAAATTGTTGGAAATGATTTCCTTCTGCAATGATACATGCTTCACATCGACGTTGCAGAGACTGTCGAAGACGTTCAAAAATTCCTGGTGTATGAGGTCTGTCCGGAAAGTATCCGATCTTGTGCTTTAACTTTGAACCTAGAAGGCCTATTATCAAAAACAAGTATTTCTCCCTTTAAGAGGGAACCTTCATGAGTATCTCCACCAAATGGCATGATGCAACAGCTGTTCAGTCGGCAACGGTATGCTGTTGTGTAAACGTTGAACCTCATGCGCGTCATACTTCATAACGACCGAACGCATCAAACAAAGAATCTGTACTAAATTTTGCCAAAAACTTGAGCATTCTTGTTTGGAAACCATCACTATGATTCGTAAAGTATATGCCGATGAATCTATAAGTGATACTCAAAGAGTGGTTTAGATGATTTAAAAATGGTCGTACTTCAGTTGAAAGTGACCCTCGTTCCGGCAGGCCCGTAACGACAAAAACTCCTGAAAATGTGGAACAAGTTCAAGTTTTAATTAATCACAATCGTCATTTGACAATGCGAAAGATAAAAGAAGACCTCGGGATTCCAAAAGCTATAATTTGGAAAATTTTAAGCCAAGATTTAGGGATGCAGCCGCATGGCTACAAAATTCGTTCCACATCTGCTGGTGGAAGACCACAAGAATTATCGAATGGATGTCGCCCAGGACAATTTGAAAACAATCCAGAAATGTTGAGAAAGGTTGCTGTTCCCCAAATTGAAAAATCCTCTAAAAGGAAGAAGATTGATGACATAGAGGAAATATGAAGAAATGTGACAAAATAGCTGTTAGCTATTATAGCTATCCAAAAGCTGAATATAAAGAATGCTTCCGACAGTGGAAGGATCGCTGGAAGATTATGGCTTCCAAAGGGAAGTATTTTGAAAAAGACGTCGTCATTAACCAGAATTAACTCTTTCTCCTGCTATAGCACAAGATCGGATACTTCCCGGACAGACCTCGTATTGCGAATTTTGTCACATGCGGCAGTAATCTGATTTTTGAGTAGTTCCAAACTATCAATAGTATTATTATCAGACTAAACTTTTAAAATGTCGCCACAAATAAAAATCGAAAGGAGTTAAGTCGGGAGCGTGCAGGCCAAGCAATCGGTTCTCCTCTGTCAACCCACCGATTGTAATTGTTATTAAGGTATTCTCTGGCAGTTCGACTAAAACGCCGGAGCTCCATCATGCATAAATCACATTCGAGTGCGTGTTGCCAATGGTACATCTTGTAATAGTATAGAAAGTTCAGTTTCCAAAAATTGTATATAATTTCTACCGTTGAGTATAAATGGAAGAAAAACTGGTCCAATAAGCAAGTCTCCAATAATTTCAGCCCACACGTTGCATGAAAACTGGTATTAGGGTCGAGATTGATTACCAGCATGCGTGTAAACTTCAAAAATATTCCTACAATATTCAATCATAAACAAGAGAGTGTTTATATCTCGGAAAGGAAGAGTTTCCGGACCTATGTTTGTATGACCTCTTTTTATCCTTAGGAAAAAGTAGAATACGGTACCGAAGTTGGTCACCTTTTTCGGTGTCACCCTGTATACAGTTCTCGTTGCAGCTGCACGATATCGCATTATTCAAAATTGCGAAAAGAAGGCCGATAACCCGGAAATTACGAATACCTCGCAGAAGATTCAACATTCTCGTGAAATCTGCGAAGTAAACTCAGACTGGCGTCGAGGCCGGAATGGAGCAAGCTACTTCTTGTGCTAACGCAGCGTTCCTCAACACCAGCAGATGCGTGTCCATATCGTTGAGAGCTTGATCAATGAATGCTAGCTTTCTGGCCTGGCTCTTCGGCACCCCGTGCTTCGTCACTAACGCCAAATGGGTCACCGCTAGTACTAAAGCTGCCACTCTCGCCTCTAGCAGTCTGGCATCCAACGGCGGGTACAAGCTGCGCACGACATCGTCGACGCGAGGCGGTATACGTCGTGCAACCTGCGTGATTGAAGGTGGGTATAATAGATGGGCCTATATTTTTAGCTGGATAAGCTTGCATTTTTGCTATTAGAATAAAACAAATATATAACTTAGTGTTGAAAGAAGATTGAATTTTCTGTGCAACATTACTTCAGCTAAGAAAAACAGGTCTGATGCAATTGATTGATGGAACTACGGATGAAGAATTTGATAGAAACGGCAGAAAAAAACTCAGTAGTAATCATATTGAGTAAATGACACTCGTACTTACGTCTACTATTTCCAAAGGTACAGTATTGCTGTTAACAGTCCCAGCGATGGCTGTGAGACTAGCTGCTAAAGTGTGGCAGGATCGCAGTACCGCTATACAAGGTGGAGCTAAGCCAGTAGCATCATCCACCCATCTGTAATATGACAATCTCTGTTGTATATCATAAGCTGCATAATTTACAAACTTCAAAATAAAGGGTGCAAATACTAGTCCGTCTAAGTTTTATAGTTTGCATCAATTTAATTTTCGTGGGGAAGGATATATCAAATTCGAGGCATTTGGACTTAATAGAAATCCAAAAGGAAGTACTGTGGATATGGACTATTAATTTGTATCAAAGTGGTAAATATGTGTATAATATTTAGCAAAAGTATTTATTTATATTATTTATAAAATAGTTGTTACACTGTTCGTAATAGTTCATGTGTCTTGAACAATTCACAAACAGCTTTTATGCAACTACACAGATTTATAAATCTTGTTGAAGATAATAACTTGATAGATTTTCTTATAGGAAATATTGAAAGCTGTTTGCTTAAAAAGAATTGTTTAAGATACACGATGATTATGAACAATGTAACAACCATTTTATAATATAATCAAATATTTTTATTTACATTAGAAAAATTTATGTTAGAGACGACTTCAAGATTACCTGAAGCTTGATATATATCATCAAGATGTCTCTGAGTAACATTCAAAACTTTTCAATTGCTGTTCGTTGCATGTCAAGAAGTTATTAGAAATTTAGAAAAGCTGACCTAGCTTAATTGATGTTATATAAATAATTTATATAAGATAAGAATTATATATTAGCTTAGATTTTTTAGAGATGGAAATACAAGAAATTAAATATCAAAATGTTAAACTCCATTTTATTATATCTCAACAACAAATACTGTCCTGATTTTTTTTATAAATCATTTCTAACTATTATCCACACAATATATATTAATTCCAACAGAATCAACGATTGAAAAAACAGTGAAAAAATTTCAGGAATGACAGAATAGACTCCTAAAATTTTAAAGAGTGATAGAATAGGACGCAACAAATATTTTTTGCCAGACAACATATTTGTTGTGTCTTCCCCTACCACCTTTCAAATTTTTATACAAACTTTTCAATTACTCTGAATATGTACTTTGTGGACATTCCTAAAAATTAAAAATCCAGAACAAGATTAAGTAATCAATAATTACATATAGTCTGATACAAAGTTAAGCTTTGTTTTAAATCAGACAGTGGAGTCTTATGATAGATTAATATTATAAATAATAGTCTTATGATAAATAATATAAATTTACATAATCATATAAGAAAAACTTATACAAGATTTATCCACTCTTTTAATTGCTACTGCTGCAAGAAAGAAGTCAAATTCATATAAAACCTCCTACGTTGCCATTCTTAGAAAAAAAACTATATGATCACTAGCTTGGACAATTTTTCACCATCTAACATTCTTTATACCTTTCAGCACCAGCCAGCCACTCTTCGCTCTCCCAAGCGTCTAATCCCAAACCAGTGATATTCTCTCCTTCCAGTAAGTCAGAACTCAAGTCTGCAGAGTCCTTCTGGTTCTGTAACCAAACGAGACCATGCTTTTCCTTCCTGAGCCTGATTCTTTCCACTCAGGAACTCTATGAAACATACATAATAACAACGTTGTCTGCGACAAATCACCAGGAGCACCAAGAGCGCGCCGAGGAAGACCGCTGCAAGTGCACCCAAAGCGACTGCCACCACTGTCTCCATACCAGTAGCTGTGGTTGAGGGACCAGCATTGCTCATCGACATCGAGGAACTCATGATGTGAATCGGCAGATGATTGCAGGTGGACGATCTGTCGAATCAATCAAAGCGTGGTGGCAAACTTCGCCGGCGAAAAAGCGTCAATGGAACTCACGTTGACATTTGACGTGAAATGTCAACACTCATCATACTGATCGTGATCCACTCTCCCGCTGACGGCCGGTGGGAGGCGGAGACTGTCACGGATCTTAAGTCCCGTTCATTGCGCGCGAGGACGACTCACGCAGCAAGTACGCCAGGTGTTACATAAGTTATGGGTTTGTTCTTTTCAGCTGAACTAGTGCTGCACTTGAACTGCGTTGGTTCAGAACTAGAACTCTGACAAGTACAGCACAAGTTCATAGGTTGCAGAGGCATGCAGAGATGCCAGATAGGATGGAAAAGAATGCCACAGTGCAGGAAACAAAATGGAGCTAAACGTTGCTCCAGTTAAGGGTGAAGTCCCATGGGTCCAGCGTACGACGTACCGGCGTATGGCATAAAGGAACCAGGCCAATCACAGGCTTTCCGCTTCGTTTCGTTACGCCAGCATGAATGTTACGCTGATTTTTGTAGCGTTCCAGTGCCGTGATTCTGTAACTCGTTATTGGAGTTAACGACAGTTTCGTTATTGTTGCGCAGCTTTTCTACGGTATACAAAAGCTGCGCAACAATAACGAAAGTGTCGTTAACTCCAATAACGAGTTACAGAATCCCGCTACAGTGCTGCGATTCTGTAACTCGTTATTGGAGTTAACGACACTTTCGTTATCGTTGCGCAGCTTTTGTATACCGTAGAAAAGCTGCGCAACAATAACGAAACTGTCGTTAACTCCAATAACGAGTTACAGAATCGTAGCACAGCTAGCGTTTATGCACACACATATATATATATATATATAGTGTGAAAATGAGTGAAGTTTTTATAGCGTATTAAAATTAATTTAGATAACAAAATTGAAAAGAATTTGAAATGGATAAAGGTGATAATTTTTTAGTAAGTATCAGTTTAAAAAATTCTCTATATATCTAATAAATACAGAATTAGAATAGATACAGGAATAAATACAGAATTAGATAAAAACCGAATAAAAAAGCACATTTATCAATTTGAATCAATTTTTCATTGTTTATTAGGATAAGATTTTTACTTTTAGTCTGAAGTTTTATATTGTCACTCTTTATATACATTTTTTTATATACACTTTAGAAATTGCACTAATTTACAAAAACTAATGTTTATTGCAGAACAAAATGTGGTTATTGTTGTGAGGTATTAACTATTGCCGCACAAGAAGAAATATTTTGTCATAAATGCTTTCAACATTATGATGAAGAAATGCTGTATTTATTAATGATGACTTTGTTGTAACTATTGGTAAGTTTTGCAGTAATAATACTTTTACCTTTCGAGTAGTGTGTGTCTATAGTATATAATATATTTTTCAAGCAAGTACTTTACAATTTCAACACAACTAAAAAAATGAGTTTTACCATATTTGTTCATGCAAATATAAAAGTTATGCAAGAAGAATTCATCATGTATTCTAGAATGTCTGAATAAGGCATCACATTATTGTGTTAATATATGTTTTCTTGAAGACACTCTAGAAAACACCATTATATCATATTTATGTATATGTAGGTTTAAAATATTAAATTTAACCTACATCTATTTTAACTAATCTGCAACTATTTGCAATTATATTGTAATAAATTCAAAAGAACAATAAAATATTGATATTGACAATAATACAGAACGACATTAGCGACGAACATCAGTCTTTAGCAGATCATCGTGATAAAATGCTAATCAATATAGTACAGACAAAACCAGCACTATGGAATTTTCAGATTCCACTTAGTAAACGAATAAAGGCAAAAAAGAAAGCATTATGGAAGGAGGTTGAAAATATGTTAGGAGGTTTATATAAATATTTATAAGATGTTATATAAGGTTGCAAAATGTGAACTATAATCTACTTTAAGAATATGAGTGAATTTTGTTTATAATTACAGGATGTATGACTATGAACGATGCAATGAAAAGATGGAAGTATCTAAGAGATAATGGTTGCAATAAGATTAAAGAAACATTGCTACAACTTTTTAATATTGCTGAAACTCTACAGCAATGTTTCTGCAAGATCTTTGCTGTATGTGGTATACTTTTCTTAAATACGGAACAAGAATAATAAAATAAAAGAAAATATTTATTTTGTATTTCTTGGTTTTTTAAAAATTATGTTACAAAACCTTTTCCCATTACCATGAAACCGCACCGGTAATTTCAAAAAATGTTGCAAAATTATCTCTTATTTGAGCACAACTTTTCGTTTGTCTTAAAATTGGTCTGACCCAAAATCTTCCATATTTAATTGTAGGTCCCTTTTTTTTTCTTCGCCTCATTAATTTATAAATTGTATAAATTTTAATTATTTTCTGTCGGATTTGTTCCTTACATAATGTATTTTCTGAGTTTTTATAAATTTTCATATTTTATTAAATTAAATAATGTGGACTTTGAATCACACATTTTGACAGTTGTGTACATCTGTTTTGATATCATGTATGAATATATTTGTAGAAACGTTACGTTAAAAATTTTATCGGCTGTCCCATGGGGCGTATTTGCGCTGGCGTAATGATCAATCAGCCAATCACAAGATCCTTTGAATATTCATTTTTAAATTTAAGTTTATAACATGACATTGCGATTGGCTTATTAATTTTTACGCTACGTAAATATGCCCCATGGGACAGCCGAGATGTTTGCTAGCGTAACGAAACGAGCAGAAAATCTGTGGTTGGCCTGGTTCCTTTATGCCATACGCCGATACGGTCGCGGACATGAAGGTTGTCACTTTTTTTGTAATGACTTTCGGGACGCATCCCATCTCGAGAAAGATGAGAGCTGCTGCTCCGCCTGCGGAGCACGCCTGCGCAATAACTCACAACGAAATGCGAGAAATGAAATATACGTGGTATGACATAAGTATGTCAACAATCATTGCGTTCAGCGGAGAAAACCGCTCAGTGAGCGATTAGTGACTAAAAAAATACCATTTCACTTAAAATTTAATATACATATCTGTTTAATACCTTGCAAAAGACGCATTCCCATTTGAGTGACTTGCACTATGTATCTATCCCTCCGTTGCTGATTTTTCAAAATGTAAGAATTGGGTGCGTTCACGACACTCAACAGTCGAGCAACTGTGGAATAATTCGTCAATGTTATTGGTCTGAATGTAAGGATCTAACAGTAAGGACCAATAGTTACTAATCGCTCACTGAGCGGTTTTCTCCACTGAGCGCAATGATTGGGTGCATTCAGTACTACACCGCTCACTGAGCGCTCAATGAGCTTTTACATTTGATTGGTATATTCCTTTAGATTTAAAAATATACACTAATCAGGTGCAAGAGTTCACTTAGCGTTCAGTGAGCGGTTATAGTACTGAATGCATCCATTGTTGATATACTTATGTCATACCACATATATAATAGACATATACAGGGTCATCGAAAAGTTCGGACCTCCCTAATATCTTCAGTTAGAATGCATTTTGGAGAAAATGTCCAATAGCAAAGTTATATGGTTTCAAGCGGGGAGTAAGATGATGACCTTGACTTTGACCTTGACCATGTCCTTCAAGGTCAACCTTATTTTTTTAAATGGAACCCCCAACATTTTATTGCATATTCTTATAGCTTATCTCGAGAGCTTTTCCAAAACACTATAATAAAACATTTTTTCATTAAGTACTTTTTGAGTTATAAAGGTTTGAAGTTAACAATTTTTTGACACAAAATGTAAAATATCTTGTAAAATATTATTTAGATTTCAGTAATCATAACCTTAATACTTTTGTGCGCGAAATAATGAGACCAATTAATTGGTTTGAAGAAAATACATTAATCGAAAAGTATCGGCTCCCCCTAATATTTTCAGTAAGAATGCATTTTGGAAAAATGTCTAATAGCAAAGTTGTACGGCTTCAAGCGGTTATGCTAGTAGGCTATGGCGGAAAACTGCCCGAAGGTGATCGCGAGAAGCTGCTCGAATGCGTGATGTCTGAAGACGTTAGAAGGAATCTGCCCGAAAGCGTTGGCGGGGCTGATCTTTATTGTCTCACTCTCGCAGGCACCAATAGTAATACAAGCTCTTGAGCAAACAATGCGGATCACTGATTTGAATCTTTGATGCAGTGCTGTGTTCTTCTTAACGAGCAGCAGTCACCTCGTGGACGAAAACGAACAGTCCCAAAAATTGTTTCTGTAACAAAAGAAGCCATTGCGCTTCAATTGATTGTCCCAAACATTTTCATTTTGTTTCCAATAGTCCAGAATTTTTTCGTAAATATTATTAATTGATCTATTAGATTTTCAGTTGCTCAACGAGCGTTTTGCTAGTGCTGGTTGAAATAAACAAATCGATAGTTGGACCAACACTTAATAATTAGTATTTTTCTCTACTTAATTATTTAGATCAATTTCTTATCACTTACCTGATTAATTCTTCTTTGCTCTAATTAAGAATGGCGGAGCTTTCTGAAAGAGATCGGATAACACTGTTAATGATGCGAGGATGGGGAGATCGACAAAGAGGGTATAAAAGAGTAACGCGATTATTTAATGAAAATTTTCGGAATGAAAATAATAGGATCTCCAAAAGTACTGTAATCCGTACTATTCAACGTTTCGAGGACATTGGTAGCGTTAAAAGCCGCCCAAGATCTGGTAGACGTAAAACAGCAACAAATAATGATAAGGCATTAGATGTTTTACAGTCTTTCGTTGAAAGGCCCCACATTTCCATCAATCACGTTGCACAAGAACACGAAATCGGTCATGCATCTATCAGTAAAATTCTGAAATTGAATAAATGGCATCCATACAAACTTCATTTGGTCCAAGGGATGTCCGAAGACGATTTTGATAGACGCATCGAAGTTTGTGATCTTATGATGGAGATGATTGTCGACGATCCTCTATTACTTAATAATATTGTTTTCTCTGATGAGGCAACATTTGAACTGACTGGAAATGTAAATAGACACAATTGTAGATACTGGAGTGACGTTAATTCTCACTGGAAAAGAGACAATCATACCCAATATCCACAAAAAGTTAACGTATGGGCTGGTATTCTTAATAGTAGACCAGTTGGCCCTTTCTTCATTGAAGGCAATTTGACAGCACAAGTATACACAGTCATGCTTCGAACAAATTGTTCCAGCTATTCGAGACATAGCTGGTGGAAATATGGATGAAATTTATTTCTAACAGGATGGAGCTCTACCTCATTATGATGTCATTGTCCATCAATATTTGAATAAGGTCTTTCAGGACAGGTGGATAGGGCGAAAGGGTCATATTGAGTGGCCACCTCGGTCTCCGGACTTGACCCCACTTGACTTTTTTTGTGGGGTTACTTGAAAAGTAAAGTTTATGCCACCAAGCCTCAAGATTTAGATAATTTAAGAGGGAGAATAACTCGAGAGATAGAACTAATACCGCCGGAAACGTTCCGGAATGCGGTTTCAGCTGTTTATAACAGATTGGCACATTGCCAGGCTGTTGAAGAGCAACAATTTGAACATTTGTTGTGAATTGTTTGGTACAATTCAATATTTTGTCCAAACTGACCAATTGGAATTAAATTTACCTTAACTGGTCAGAATCATATACCACTCTTGCCTTAACTGGTCGGAATCACACACCACTCTTGCCTTAACTAGTCAGAACCACACACCACTCTTGCCTTAACTGGCCGGAATCACACACCACTTAACAAATTGTTAACTTCAAAACTTAACTTTATAACTCAAAAAGTACTTAATGAAAAATGTTTTATTATAGTGTTTTGGGAAGCTCTAGAGATAAGTTATAAGAATATGCAATAAAATGTTGGGGGTCCCATTTAAAAAAATAAGGTTGACCTTGAAATGACCTTGAAGGATATGGTCAAGGTCAAAGTCAAGGTCATCATCTTACTCCCCGCTTGAAACCGCTTACAACTTTGCTATTGGACATTTTCTCCAAAATACATTCTAACAGAAGATATTAGGGGGGTCCGATACTTTTCGATGACCCTGTATAATAGACTGAGCATGCAATATAATTCTCAGTAGCTAAGGAGACAGTTTGGTAAGGCGACAGTTCCCCGAAAAGAGGAGATAACGTTGATACCAACGAAAATCTCTGCACGATATAATTTTAGTTTCTGTAGATTAGTACCATTGTTGAAGTAGTAAGTCTGTTAGTTTGCGTAAACCTTTTGACAGATTGCGCGCGTGTAAATAATACTGTACAACTATTATATATAAAAACGTAAATATAAAATATATTGTAGTATTTTATTAAAATAAAATTAAGTAAAAATGACAAGTAAATGGAAACCTAAAATACGTAATAAGTGAGATAAATAAGTGAGAATATAAGTAATAAAATAATAAGTGAACATACAAAGTGAACAAGAGAAAAAAATAATAAATATTGTATTTACATAAGTTTGTGTGTGTGTGTGTGTGTGTGTGTGTGTGTGTGTGTGTGTGTGTGTGTGTGTGTGTGTGTGTGTGCGCGTGTGTGTGCGTGTGTGTGTGTGTGCGTGTGCGTGTGCGTGTGCGCGCGCGTGTGTGTGTGTGTGTGTGTGTAAGTAGATAGACAATAATTATATGTAATTAAATAATTTTAATTTTTCACTGTTTTGACATGTCACAGTAAATATTACTCGTTGTTGGAGCATAGTTCTTCGCACTGGGATCAATTTACCTTCATTGTCATCAATAAATATATGTCAGATAAGTAATTTATATTTACATAAGTTAAAAAATTAAATATTCATGTGCTGTTTATAATTGTAGATGTTGTTAAATTGATTCTTCCCTTTGATTTAATTTTTGTTCCAGTTTCCCAGCTATGTACATGTTTGCAGAATGTTAGTAGAGAATAATTATCGTAGAATAAGGTTGCCAAATTCCAAGCCTTGATGAACATCACTGATGGTTATAGCATCATTCTTCGTACCTGGATCAATTTGCTATCATTGTCATCTGTGGAATGAAATGCATGCATGATGAGAGAAGTGTAAGCAAGGAAACTAAAGAGATATAAATCAAGGATAAACAATTATATCAGATAAGTAATTTATATTTACATAAGATAAAAGATAAAATACTTATGTTCATGCTGTTTATAATTGTACATGTTATTGAACCAACTCTTTCTTTTGAATTTTTTTTTCAATTTTCCAGCAATCCATATGCTCGCTGAAAGTTGATATCCAGAAAATAATTTTCTGTGAAATAAGGTTGCCAAATTTTGAAGGTACTATGTCCTTGGTATAAACAGAAGTTGAAATTACATTCTGATGTCAAATATCCATCACCAGCAAAACCAGATTGATGAGAGCAGGTTTGTAAAATTTATGTTTATACTATTATTTTTAATCGACGCTTTCTATAGATATATTCGATGTTTATTATCATCTTATAACAATACTTCCATCTTGGACCAATATATATATTGTTCCAATCCAACCAAATATAGGAATAGCAGATTTTGAAAGAGCAATTGTTTTTCCTGGTATTAAAGTAATTGGCTACTTTTTTCATTATAGCCAGGTAATAAAAAATAACGACACATATAATAATAAACATGAAATGTACATCACATTTCTTTATATTGCTTCCTTATTACAGGCCTGTAATAAGGAAGCCATAGATGTACCTTAGTACATAATGCAAAAGAGCATAGAATATTAAAGGACAAAAATAATAATGAAGAAATAGGATATGGTGCAATTAAATTATTAATATCTTTAGCTTTGTTGCCTGAATCTTTAATAGAGGAAGGCTTCAATACAATTTCAACAATAATTTTTGCCAATTGCAAATATATTGAGCCATTTCTTAATTATTATAAAAGAACATGGCTTAACGGTTTTAAACCCGAGTCGTTCTGTGTATATAAACAATTACAGAAAACTATTAATATATCAGAGCAACATAACAGAGAACTCAAAGAAAAACGGAATAAACATTCTACAATCGTCGCATTTTTAGGTATTTGTACACAGTGTTACATTTATTTTCAGAATATTTTTAATGTTTTTATAATTAAGTATTATTTACAGCAAACTTGGCAGACCATCAAAAAAATATACACAGTATTAATCATCCTGCATTTTGGTCAAGATCTAAGAATAATATTTTAAAGGAAAAAGAAGAAAAATTACAAAAAATTTGGAGCAAAAATAATAATACAAACATAGATATGTTATTAATTTTATACGAACTCAGAATTAATAGGAAGAGAAATAAATTTATAAACACGTTCTTAATTTTTTATTCTTTTAATTTTCCTTCTTGTTGCACAAACTTGCGATTATCTGACTTCTCATGGCTTATACATCTACTTATAATACATGATTTTTATTTTGCTACAGGTATTTCTTTTAAAAATTGATCCTCAATTTTTGGAGAAACTATATTTTCTGTACCAGACCTCAAATCCTAATAACCATATTTGTAGAGGCAAGTACTAACAACAAATCCTATTTGAAAGATAAAGCTGAAAGATAAAAAACATATGATTCAGTACACTCGACAATATGGTAATAAACATCGAATATATCTATAGAAAGCGTCGATTAAAAATAATAGTAAGCATAAATTTTACAAACCTGCTCTCGTCAATCTAGTTTTGCTGGTGACGGATATTTGACATCAGAATGTAATTTCAACTTCTGTTTATACCAAGGACATAGTACCTTCAAAATTTGGCAACCTTATTTCACAGAAAATTATTTTCTGGATATCAACTTTCAGCGAGCATATGGATTGCTGGAAAATTGAAAAAAAAATTCAAAAGAAAGAATTGGTTCAATAACATGTACAAATTATATATACAATTATAAACAGCATGAACATAAATATTTTATCTTTTATCTTATGTAAATATAAACTACTTATCTGATATAATTGTTTATCCTTGATTTATATCTCTTTAGTTTCCTTGCTTACACTTCTCTCATCATGCATGTATTTCATTCCACAAATGACAATTATAGCAAACTGATCCAGGTACGAAGAACGATGCTATAACCATCAGTGATGTTCATCAAGACTTGGAATTTGGCAACCTTATTCTACGATAATTATTCTCTACTAACATTCTGCAAACATGTACATAGCTGGGAAACTGGAACAAAAATTAAATCAAAGGGAAGAATCAATTTAACAACATTACAATTATAAACAGCACATGAATATTTAATTTTTTATCTTATGTAAATATAAATTACTTATCTGACATATATTTGTTGATGACAATGAAGGTAAATTGATTCCAGTGCGAAGAACTATGCTCCAACAACGAGTAATATTTACTTTGACATGTCAAAACAGTGAAAAATTAAAATTATTTAATTACATATAATTATTGTTTATCTACTTACACACACACACACACACAACTTATGTAAATATAATATTTATTATTTTTGTCTCTTGTTCACTTTGTATGCTCACTTATTATTTTATTACTTATATTCTCACTTATTTATCTCACTTATTACGTATTTTAAGTTCCATTTACTTGTCATTTTTACTTAATTTTATTTTAATAAAATACTACAATATATTTTATATTTACGTTTTTATATATAATAGTTGTACAGTATTATTTACACGCGCGCAATCTGTCAAAAGGTTTACGCAAACTAATAGACTTACTACTTCAACAATGGATTCAACAACTACTTCAACTACTTCAACAACTAATCTACAGAAACTAAAATTATATCGTGCAGAGATTTTCGTTGGTACCAACGTTATCCCCTCCATTTTTCGGGGAACTGTCGCCTTACCGAGGGTTTGGCAGAACAGAGAGGCAAAACATCAGTGATATTTTGTCCTCTTTTATCTTTGTTGCGCGCGCATTATTGACAATAATGGCCGTCGATGGTTAATAACCTAAAAGTGCTGTCGAATATCGTTTTCTTTTGACCATGAAGACATGCAACACATGTGGTTTTTGGAAGGAGAGAAATGAAGTAAAAGATATAACTTTTCACGTGTAAGTAAAACATTTTGCTTTTTCTTACAATTGGTAATATGTATCTGACTTACATAATTTTACATGTGCATATGTTATTATATATTATTATATGTAATTATATGAAAAGTTATGCTATTTGTGAAATTATAGATTTCCAAAGAAAAAAGATATTCGGCAGAAATGGATAAAGGCAACAAATAAAGTTAATTTTATTCCCACGAGAACAAGTGTTTTATGCAGCCAGCACTTTTCAAGTGATTGCTTCTATTATCCAAGTGGCAGATCAAAACAACGTGTCTTAAAACCAGATTCTGTACCAACCAGGTAATAATGAATTAGTGATTTTATTAATATTCATAATATTGTTTATAAATGAAACGTAAATTGTAATCATATGTAATTAAGAAAAAATATCTCCTTAATCTTTTTTCTAATAATATTAATTATTTTTAAATAGGAAGTTAAAAGTGCCCCTAAGAGAAAATATTAATATCAATCTTCCAAACGACAATATTGAAAAAAACAATACGATGCAGTTTGGGAATAAATCCTTCAAAAAAAGTACAGCTAAGTCTAACATAAATACAGAGATGACAATCTATGATGATAATACATCTAACATGGATAGTAAATGTCAAATGGAAGTAAAAGATACATACAAGTGAGTAAAATGTAATATGAAACAATTACTGTGTATATTATTGTTTTATTTTAGTTATTCTAATATATGTACATATATGTGTGTGTGCGTGTATGTATTTATATATTTATATATCTACAGGAGACATGCTGTAACTCCCAAATGTAAATTGATTCGGCAAAGAAACCCAAGGTATATCGGCGACTGTACTCTTAGCGATTTTCAATCACCGCGGAAAGCTTTGCGTAATTGGAAAATGCCATGACTCACGTCAATACATTACGTCAATAATTAGCAACAATACAGAAGCAAAATTATCATTTAAAAAAGAAAGTCACAAACCTTCAAACATTGGTAACAACTTTAAAGAATAAAAGATTATTATCAGATGATGCAGCAAGAGTTTGGTGTGTAAGTTATTTATGATAAATATTTCTATATAATTACTATATTTCTATTAAACTGTATTCCCAAAAGTACTATGAGTACTGAACATATAAAGTTTATTTAACATATGTTATACAATTGTAATACTGATTTTAATACTGATTGACACAAAATTTATCAACACGAGCAACTATCGAATGAAAGCCAATTATCTTGCCAAGTATCTTGGATTCCGACAATATATATATAATATATATATATGGAGCATTCTTTGCGAAACCGACCACCCTTGCTCGCCAAATTTGGTTTCAACCAAAAAATTTTTTCCGGGGCTGAAAATTTTCTTTATGATGTCTACTTTCATTAGCCGTGTGGCCTTTTGGGAAATTCTCAATGGCGGATTCAGAATGGCGCCAGCAAACGCGGAAGAAGGGGAAAAAATTAGAATTATTCCTTCTCTCCACGATTGGTTTTAACAAAAAAATGTTTCCGGGATTCTAAATATTCTTTGTGATATAGACATTCATTAGCCGTGTGGCCTTTTTGAGAATTCAACATGGCGGATCCAATATGGCGGATGAAACATCAAAACTGAAAATTTTACAGTTGCAAAAATGTGATCATATTCTATGTCAAATTTTGAATACAAATGCTCTCTTGCGATTTTTCGATTAAATGTATCGTTGTCGAAAGAAAAATTCATGAACATTGAAATGTTAGTTAAACCTAGAAAAGCTGAATTTCAAATGTTGTATCGAAGAGTGTAGAACCCATCAGATAAAAATTGCGGTTGTGATGAGAATATTTTGGAGTGGCTAAATACAAATCCGGGATGAAAGTTGCTAAATTCAAAATGTCGGATCCAATATGGCGGATGAATATCGCTTGAAAACATTTGAGCATAAGCTCAAATAAGCTATAAAAATTCATTCTCATCAATAAAATATATATTGTTATTTCTATCAAGTTTGAAATCAATCGTCTGCTTAGTTTCTGAAAAAAAAAATTCGCGAAAATAGCTTATTTTTCTGGCCTACAGACAGGATTGTCTCCTTAATCGGCATTTTTGCTAAGGAGAAAAGAGGAAAGCGCGATACATGGTTATTAGAGCAAGCGAAACATCTATAGAGACAGCGCGGTATTTCTATAGCTGTCTCACTGATATTGCCTGCATTCAAGCGTAGAGTAAGTGAGACAGCTATTGGGACCATTAACCGTACCACGTCTGGTAATGCTTTCTCTCTCGATCGTGCGACGTGCGATAAGAATGCAACCCTAGACATATAATAAATAGACCGCGCGTTCAGTGGAGGGGGCATTCTATATTCGAAAGAGACAACATACTTTCGTTGAGCAATCTATCGCTTTCTAACGATGCGTGGTAGGGGTAAAGCAGTCTTCCGTAACAGGGGAAACAGAAGTAGGAAAATATAGAGAAAGGGGAATTGTGAAAGGCAAAGAGAAGAAAATACGTCTGATATAAATGTGTGATATAAATATATATAATATATGAAATATTTTATTTATGGAATTTATAAAAACAAGAAACTTAGATTAAACTTTTAATAGAATAAACTTTTGACATAGTTGGTAACACTAATATAAAAATTGACTGCTTAAATTAAATATTATTGATTCTTCAATAAAATGAGTTTTGTAAATTTGAATCTTATCTGTTCCATTTTGTTATTTTGTGAAGCTGCATAATGATGCAAACGAAGAATAAAAAATTTGTTTAACAGAATGCGAATCAATTGATTCCTATGATCCATCAAGGGAGCTTGATCAAAAGCATGTTCCACCTCAGTGAATAACTCATTTACTTTTAATTTTGTTAATGTTAAATATACCGGTTTCTTAAGTATATTTTTAGACGTCAAGATATGTTCATTTGTTCGTATAATAATGCAGTTTTACAAATTTTTATTACATCTTCGGATGCATTAAATAACGTACTGTAAACTTTATTTGTTTGCAGCTTGGATAGTGATTTTTGTTTTAAGCATTTAATGCACGAATGACAACTTAATTTCTTTGTCGTTTGTTTAGCAATAAATCCTGCAATATATGCTAAAATATCAGCCTGAATGTCATCGCTGAATGTCATCGATTGCACTATATAATCATGCTCTATGTTCCAAATGAAATCTTCCATGAAATTATTTTCATCAGCTCTATAGTTAGTTATATTTTCTTTAAGAAGAATGGTATCATCTTTAGGTGTACAATTGCTGTTGAAGATAATATTAATATTAACATGAGCATGAAGCTTCTTTAAAGCTGCTATAAACTGTTTAACAGTAGGATTGTTATTGAATCCACCACAACGTCTTATATAAGAAAAAAATGTCTCTAAGTAGTCTTGAGACAGTTTATATGTTAGCAGAAATGTCATATACTGTTTTGCAAACAATACTTCAGCCAAGAAGATCACGCTCTTTAAACATATTATTATCCCTAGAAAACCTGTTTTATTTCTAGTTTGAATTATAGGTGTTGTATCCAGTTTTAATCCTGCAATATATGCAATAAAACTTTCCACTTTTATTTTTATGTCCTGAAAATTGTATTAGGTAAATCGGAAAGTTCCGTCCGTTTAGCGACAAGTAGCTATAGCTAGAATTGTCGTTAATCTCTAATGTCTAAACGAAGCTTAATAGTTTGTTTTGACATCTGTCAATAACATTCAGTACATAAAAGTATACGTTTGCAACAATAACATTGTTTTTCACTGCATAGAAAATGTCGAAATTTGAGCCAAATAAGCGTCATTTGCGCGAAGTGTTAATCTTTTGCTTCAATTGGAAGAAAACTGCAGCTGAAGCTCATCGAATGCTTGTAGAAGTTTATGGTGATAATGCTCCTTCCGATAAAACATGCAGAGAATGGTTCGACGCTTTAAAATTGGTGATTTTGACGTAGAGGACAAAGAGCGTTCTGAACGGCCAAGAGTATTCGAAGACGAAGAATTGCAGGCATTGGTAGACGAAGACCCATGTCAAATGCAAAAGCAACTTGCAGAAGCATTAAATTGTTCTTAATCTGTCATTTCCGATCGTTTGAAAGCCTTAGGAAAGGTTTACAAGGAAGGAAAATGGGTCCCATATGAACTGAAGTCAAGAGACATTGAAAGGTGAAAAACCATCTGCGAAATTCTGCTCGCTAGGCAACAAAGAAAGAGGTTTTTACATCGTATCACCACTAGGGATGAAAAATGGATTTATTTTGACAATCCCAAACGTCGAAAAATTATTTGCAATCTTGGCCAACCCTCAACATCGACGTCAAAACGGAATATCCACGAAAAGAAAGCAATGCTCTGTATTTGGTGGGATCAGAAGGGTGTGCTGTACCATAAGCTGTTGAAAAGTGGTCAAACAGTCACAGGGGATCTCTACAGAGAACAAATGATCTGTTTGAGCCGAGCATTGCACGAAAAACGACGAAAATATAAAACGAGACAGCATAAAGTGACTTTACTTCATGACAACGCTCGGCCCACGTCACAAAATCTGTCAAGAAAACGTTAGAAGCACTTCGATGGGAAATGTTACCCCATGCGGCTTATTTACCAGACTGTGCCCCTTCCGACTACCACTTGTTTCGGTCGATGGCACACGCACTCGCTGAAGAATGCTTCAATTCTTATGAAAATGTCGAAAAATGGGTCTCTGACTGGATAGCCTCCAAAGATGAATCATTCTTTCGCCACGGAATTCGCTTGCTAACTGAAAAATGGGAAAAAGTCATCGCTAACGATGGACAATACTTTGATTGATGTACATTTTCATTTTGTTTCTTAAATAAAGCCATACATTTTGCAAGAAAACGGACGGAACTTTCCGATTGACCTAATACAGAGCTCGGCAAAGTTTTCAACCAGAGAGAAGAATGAAAGCGGCCACCGGCCGTATTTCGGGGGTACGGCTAGGCGCATTTTAGATACGCCATCTGACCAAAATGCGCCTAAACTACGTCCGCTAGGCGCACTTTCGCGGTGATAAAAGTAAAATGCGCCTAGGTTCGTGTCCGTACTACTTCCATGCAATGGATAGTAGGTTAGAAAAAGACAGACGACAGACAATCGTTCCGTCTTTGTCTCACTACTGAGCGGCGCGCGGCAGTAAACACGAGGCGAGGTAGCGGCGATCTTATCTTTCATCTTTCACATACTGCGTTTCGCGTAATTAAAAAAGGAAATGATTTGGAAACTTCGGAAATTGACAATGAATAAATATAAAATTTGTGAAATTTTCTTTTTTACAATATATATATATTTTTTAATATTTATACATATGTGTGTGTTAGTGTAGAAAAATGTTGATACCAAATGTATATCTGCCTCTTCCCCTTCTTTCACCTCTGCCTCTTCCTCTCCATTCACCTCTGCCTCTTCCCCTTCTACCATCTCTACCTCTTCCTCTGTCTTCGCCGCTGCTTCTGCCTCTTCCTCTTCCTCTGCCTCTTCCTCTCCCTCTCCCTCTTCCTCTTCCTACTGCAGCCACGACAGCTGCTTTAATAATATTTTGCAGTGTTTTAGGCTATAACAATAAGTTAATTTTAAAATATGAGACAAAGCGTTAAATAACAACTTACAATTTAATATAATATATTATAATTTAATATAATATATAGATCAACATAGACATATACAGATTTTCATACTTACAGTTAATATAATTGGCTCGGTCGCCGTCGTGGCCGTCATAGCCGTTGTGGCCGACGTAGCCGTCGTGGCCGTCGTGGCCGTCGTGGCCATTGCAGCCCCCGCAGACGCCGCCGTCGTGGACGTCGTCATCACCGCGTTCAGCTCGTTCTGGAAAAATTCATAAAACATATTTGTTGCATATAATATATATATATATATATAATTAATATTTAACGATTAAATATATACTCACAGAATCATTCGCCGACATCTCTCGTTGCAGTGCCAGACACCGACTAATTAGAAAACGTGCGCGTACGCTAGGCGCATATGCCGATTTTTTACGATCGCGTGTACAAGCGCGCGTTCTATAAAACAGATTGTACTGCAGCACGGTACAGACAACGACAATGACGTTTAAAATGCCTTTACTCGTAATTATATATAAAATATAGGTTTGAATTTATATATAACTTATAATAATATGTAAAATATATGTTAACAACTATTATTTTGCAACTTTTTAGACACGATTTTGTTGTGAATTCTGTTTTACAACAATCTCGGGTTGAATCGCGGACCAATACTTTTCAGTATATGTATTCATTACACAATAATACAGGGAATAGAACGTGAAAATCTTGCCTTTGAATCCGAAAACAATTAGCAGAAGAAGTGAATCTTTTTCAATGCGAGAGTTCGCATTAACTTGAATTCTATCTACTGCGATTGAATGCAAGGAATGTCTTAAGCTAAGTGAATTCTTTTTTAAACGAAAGTTCATATTTGTTTTAATTTTACCACTCTGAAAGGAAATTCGAATACTTTTCAATGCGTAAGGGCGAAATAAAATATACTTTACTGTTTGGCAATACCATTTTGTAGACAAATGTTTTTTAGTCTAATTAATAATTACAAAGAACAAATGATTCTTTATGATAAGAAAGTAAAAATTTATAAACATTTTATGCAAAGCATTTACCACTACTATCTCGCATTCAGCGTGATGAAGTTTAATGCGAATCAATACTTTTCAATATTTCTGTTCGGATCAGAAAGCAGAAATTAGAAGTATTAAAAAATATCAATACTTGTTAATTCTTCTCAATCCAACATTTTTTGCAGAGCATTAAACGACAATACATTTACGTCAACCATATAGATTCCACGTGGATACAATATACCTGTTCTTATCGGATAAACGTTCAATAAACAGTCGAATAAAACTCATTATAAATATGAAAACACCTTACATAAACAGTATGTCTCACCTTATTTTGGTTGTTTAATAAAACAATCCTGCATAAAATGTCGGATCGAAAAGAATTAAAAAATATTTATATTTTTTCAATATTTCTTAATTTTGTTTTCTGGCCCCAGCGAAGGAATTGAAAACTTTTGGTTTGTATTAAATTTCATTGCACTGAATATGAGACGATAGTGGTGAATGTTTTCATTCAAAATGTTGACAAATTTCAATTTTCTTATATTATAAGGAATCGTTTCTAATTATTAATTAAACTAATAAACATTTGTCTATAAAATTGTGTTGTCAAACAGTGAAGTATATTTAATTTTACATTAAAAAGTACCTGAATCTCTTTTCAAAGTGGCAAAATTTTAACGAATACGAACTTTCGCATTAAAAAGAATCCACTTAAATCAAAACGTCCCTCGCATTCAATCGCAATAAATAGAATTCAAATAAATGCGAAAAATGCATTAAAAAAAAAATTTACTTCTGCTATTTGTTTTTGGATGCAGAGGCATACAAGATTTTCACGTTCTATTCCCCGTATCGCACTGAAAAATATTGACCCCCGATCCAATCCAAGATTATTACAAAGCAGAATTCATGACAAAATTTCGTAAATACGAAACAATACTTTTGAAATAAGACTTTTTATGCAGTGAAGTAATGTGGGATATTATGACTTGATCAATAAAGTGATATAATTCCTTTTTTTGGACCATTGAGTCACGCTACACGACGAGTATCCGCCGTATCGAAAAGGTTAAAATATATAGCACGTTCATTACGAATTATTATTCGATACAAGCTATAATGATTTCCGAAGCACATCAGCGTTAATAAACCGAGTGCTGTTTGCAAATATTTTTCAAGACAGTTGCGTCAATAGATGCGTTCAATAGAAGAAGTTGTTTTATAACTGTTGTAAAATTCGTGAATCTATTATAATTAGTAGATGCTCTTTGATTCAGCCAAGATTAAGGGATCGTCTACAATAGAGGTCGTAAAATCATTAAGCTGTAATTCAAAAGACTATTGGCCTATACACAGTTCATTATTTTCCATGCGGTTCAGAAAAAAACGATTGTAATTTTTCAAATCACAATCAATTCTCAATTTGTCAATTTCTTAGGATCTACGACTTTACGACTTTACGACTTCTATTGTAAACATAGCCTGAGAACTTCAATCGGATTCACGAATTTTACTACAGTTGCAAAGCAGTTTTCTCTTAACATAACCAATGGCTTTTACGCACTTGTATCTGTACATATGATACGAAACGTTCCCCGCTCGAGTAGGCGGAGCCTTTTTTAAAGCCCGTCAATATTCGACTAATCGCTTCATGCTCGATACCGAGGTGATGTTAAATTATCTGTGCGTAAAGAATGAAAGGTCTAAACTACTGATGATTAACGATCTATTTTCTTCTGAATGATTAAAAAGACATTTTTAGAAAGATACGTTTATAGAAAGGGGAGAGAAAAAGAGAGAGAGAGAGAGCAAATATTTATTTATTTATTTATTCTTTGCAATTTTATTCAAAAAGAATAAGTAAAAAATATAAAATGCATTGTTATAAATATTTCAGTTATGTTTATACAAAGTTAACAAAGTAACAAGTCATTTTTACTCTATTTGTACTTATAGTGTTAAAGAGTGATATTTACGTACACGACACATACATTAACGAAATTATGCTATTATCTGCTTATTATTACGAGGGCAGTTTGATAAGTCAGTGACTTTTTGAATTTTCCGCGCAGTAACTTTAAATGCAGCACTGCTCCCGTCAACTGCCATCTATTAATAGACTACTGTACAAGTTTAGGCAAGCTGCGCCATTTAGTTAGTGTTTGACAGCCATTGAAAGCAGACAACCTCGTGAATTTTAACGAAAATGGAAAAAAGTGAATTTCGTGTGCTGATTAAGCATTATTTTTTGTGTAAAAAAACCATCACCGAAACCAAGGCAAAGCTTGATAAATACTATGGGGACTCTGCACCATCAATTTCAATGGTTAAGAAGTGGTTTACTGAGTTCCGTTGTGGTCGTACCAGCACAAGTGACGCCGAACGTTCAGGTCGCCCAAAAGAGGTCGTCACGCCAGAAATCGTCGATAAAATCCATGGAATGATATTGGATGATCGGAGAATGAAAGTGCGTGAAGTGGCTGAGGCTGTAGGCATCTCAACTGAGCGGGTACATCACATTTTACATGAATATTTGGACATGAAAAAGTTATCCGCGCGATGGGTGCCGCGATTGCTCACACTCGACCATAAGCGCAACCGTGTGACCATTTCAAAGGAGTGTTTGGCGATGTTCAGCCGCAATCCGAACGAGTTTTTGCGCCGTTTCGTTACCGTAGACGAAACATGGATCCACACCAGAGACCAAGGAACAATCAAGACAGTGGGTTTCTTCGGGTGAACGTGCACCAAAGAAGGCCAAGGTGGGTCTGTCGGCCAACAAGGTCATGGCCACAGTTTTTTGGGATGCACGCGGTATCATTCACATCGATTACCTTGAAAAGGGTAAAACGATCACCGGCGAATATTATTCAGAGCTTTTGGACAGATTCGATATTGATTTGAAGCAAAAACGACCGCATTTGGCGAAGAAAAAAGTGCTGTTCCATCAGGACAATGCACGGGTGCACACGTGTGTAGTCACCATGGCAAAAATCCATAAATTGGGCTACAAACTGCTACCCCATGCAGCATATTCACCAGATTTAGCCCCCTGCGACTATTTCCTGTTTCCAAACCTGAAGAAATGGCTGGGCGGTAAGAGATTTGGGTCGAATGAAGAGGTCATCACTGAAACAAACGCCTATTTTGAGGGCCTTGAGAAAACCTATTATTTGGAAGGAATAAAAAAATTGGAAAAACGGTGGACTAAATGTATCGAGCTAAAAGGAGACTACGTTGAGAAATAAAACGTTTATTTGCCGAAAAAAATATCTTTTATTAAAAAGTCACTGACTTATCACACTACCCTCGTATATAGCATGTCATGCACTAACTTTACAGTTTAAAACGATGTCTAATAAATTACAAGGAAATTAATATATATTTTATTCGGAAAAGCATGTACTGAACTTTGTACAGCAACGAGAAACGCTAACAACGAGAAGCGCTAACAAGTTTACATAATAAGAAAACATAATAATCAAACGAATGTTTAATTTAATTTAGTGATATGTGCTGTGACGATGATATATATTCGACGCCGTTGATACTTTATTATTCCCAACATCGATAGAAATCGATAGTCATTATATATTTTTAATATTTTCTTGCCGGGAGCGTTTCTAGCTGTATCTTTCTTATGATTGTTCATTCATCGAAAAAGCGGGAACGTGTTCAAAGCAGAAATGGCATTTTCAGAGCTTTACATTTCATATAGTTCAATAAAGAGGATTTTTCCTTTAATATATTTTTTTACGCAATTAATAAAAGAATGTTAGGATAGTTAAAAAGAATATTAAAAAAGATAAGTTTAAGGTTAACATACGTTATTTGTTATATTATTATTTTTTTATTTATTATTTTAATAAATAATTCAAACTTGAATTACCAAAGATGTGATAAATAAATGCAACTTATGACTTTGAAAAATCTTGAGTTTACAATACATTGCTAATCGGTTTAGACACAATGAAGTTGGAAGCTCACGAAATTGGCAAAATTGAAAGTCATTACCGAGCAACTTTTGCAATAATAATATTATTAAAAATATAGTAAAGAACACTTAATAATAATAATAATAATAATAATAGTATTGAAAGCAGAATCTCGATCTACAGATTCACAGTGCGAGCGATCATCTCGACATTATCGAGTAGCCTGAAAACGAAAGTCAATGTAAACAGTTTTTGTTGCTCGACTCAATAATAGACGGTATCGACGATTCCTTCTGGATTCCTTCTGAAATCGTCGATGAGGAATCTGAAGGACTGATCGAGAATTGTCTTGACGGTTATATAAGTCACCTTGCGAAAGAAAGTGTGCGCTCTTCTTACGACTCTTCTTATGAGACTTCTTGCGACTTCTTGCGGGTCGCTTACAATTTCCGCATAGAACTGGAGCTCGCGAATAACGTCAGTGTACGGCTTTGTAAAAGAACGATTAAATACAAATTTTCAACTTCTCACTCTGAGTACGCGTCGATATACCTCTTCGCTCTTTCCGATATTCCACTACAATATATAATAAAATTACTGAATAAGTCTGTCAGTAGTAATGACTTATAATTTTGACAATGTAGTTAGCTCAACTTCATTGTATCTAAATCGTTTTGCAATTCACTGTATGTATATCAGATTCACTTTTCAATATTTAGTGAAAATTCTCATTTGATGATTCAGAATCTCAATAATTCAGAATGATTCAGAAAAATCATTCTATATGAGTGGAAAGTTATTAAAAATTATTGCACATAACTGAAAAAAGTTTGAGTGACTCGGTGATGACTTATTTTATTTTTTTTATTTTTTTATTATATTTCACTCAAAGAAATTTTGTGAACGGCGTATCGAAAGGATAAAAGTTGCAGCATATAATAACTCGAAAAATAACTCGTTCATCGACGTCGAAACAATGTCGAATCGCCATCGAAACTGTCAAGTCGACGTCCATTCGATATTGTTTCGATGTCGATCGATGACTTATTTCTCGCTGAGATTAAATGCATTACGTATTCTCTATGTTTTGCGACGATTTCTCGCGTCAATTACCGTCGGCTTTCTGACCCAGCTCGAAAGCTAATGTTTGAACGTTGGGCGCCAGGTACGGCAATCCTGTATAATTCGCGAAATGGGTCGCCAACGCTAAAATTTTCCGCTAATTTCCGAAAAAAAAGAAACCTTCCCGTGATCGATTGTCCACACGGGATCGGTTGCTCTTATATATTTTGAATCGGAGAAGGAATTATCCGAAGGGAGTCGAAGGATTTTGGGCAAAAGATCTGCATGCCAATTTTGAGAGAGCTAACAAGTTTTATTTTGCGCTGGCGGTAGTAATACAAGAGTACAGGAAAAACCGTAATACGAACAATCTCTTTGGTCTCGTTATATTCCTCTAATGTAATATTCGAAATTATTTGCTAAATGGAGACGATTTTCAAGGGCTATATTTATTTACTTCCTATTGCCGCTTCAATTCGTCCGGCGGGACTACCGACTGACACAGTTGCGATGCTCACCTTGAGAGATCTTGACATCATAATAACTGTGAGATTTAATTAATAAAAAGTTTTTATCAAAAAAACTTTTCTATATATAATATTTTTATATGCTAACAATATATTTATATTATTAAAATTATAATGTATATGTAAAATTATAATGTAATTATAATGTAATTATTATGTAAAATTATAATGTATATTATTAAAATTATAATGTATCAATAGATTTCCACATCACCTAAGAGGTACTATTGCCGATGCGTTTTTTTTTAAGTGGTATCCTCAATAGGCCTATTCCACTAAAGAAACACTTCAATTAACTTTTAAACTTCATCCTACAATTTAATTTATATTAAATTTTTTTAAATATATTATATTATAAGATATTTTTAATATTAAAATATATAATATTCTAATATATTTTATATTATATTTGTTACTGTATTTATAAAATCAATATTCAAAGAAAATGTTCAGTATTCAAAGAAAAATGTTTAATAAATAAAATTTTATTCTCGTTGACACATTCATAAATATAACGCAAAGATCGCAATCACAGTTGAAACAATTGCATAAATCTAAGACTAGCAAATGTTATCACGGGGAAATCTACAGGTAGACCTCCTTAAAAAATTGTAAGTATATATTGACGTTCCTTTTCCTCACCTTTTTAATATCGAGACGTCTTATTGTTTGTACTATTGTACTACGTATTAATTAACGAAAATCATTGTTATATTTTAGTGTTATGTGTCTTATGTGTAACGGCATTCGTTTGAATACCGTGTGTCAACGTTTAATGCGATTCACTTGTATGCATTTCCTTATAATTTTTCATCATCATTAGTATCTTTTAGGATGTCATTGGTAATAAGAAATTATATATGATTTCTCAATTGCATAACATGATTGCATTAAAACCTTTTTTTTCCGTGATACATTTGCTAGTCTATGTGATTTATGCAATTATTTCAACTGTGAGTGCGATCTTGCATTACATTGAGAAAACATATTTCTTTTTCTCTTTACTAAAAAGTAATACTTATAGTAGATACATGATTTGCATACTTGTAACACTCTATACATGTATAGAGGTACATTTTAAATGCAACATCATGATACCATGCTGTAATATTACTTCGCACAATGACGGATATATAAGACACAAATAATAACAAAATAAAGAAAGAAAATCGTACATTTCCTAGTTTTCGTAATTATGAATACGTTCGCGAAATTTGAACATTTGTGCTTCTTTTGTACAATTTTATACGTTCTATGTTACTTATTTTCTTTATTTTATTAAAACGTATTTTATTTTATTTGATATGTTTGTCCTTTATAAGTTTTCCTTTATAAATCTTTTTATTTATTCGATAAATTTTTTAATTTTCTATTGAATATATTATTTGCTTTTATACTACCGTTATTATATCGTGTGTGGGAATATATCTTAACAGTCATTAAAAATTTTAATGCCTGCATACGATGATTGTAACACTTTTTATGAATGTCAAACCATTCAGCATGCATTTTATTAGTGGCATGTATACCTTCATTTATCATCTTTTCAAGAAGTTGTGTGGATGCCCAGTGATGTTGCCACGATTAAAAGCCATTAACTGTGTTTTAATGATATTTATAAAAAGATTTGTTGGTCGAACTAATTTCGTGACTATCGGCGCATCTTCGTCTGCATTAGGATATTCCCGATATTCGATATATTTTTCATTAGCTGTTACGTCTTTTATTGGTGTTTTTAACATTATTTGACGACAATAGTTACAATCATTTTTTTCAATACATCGTCGTGCTACATATCCTGCAAAGAATGTAATAGCATTTTCATCATAATTACTTATTATATTCATATTTTCAATGTCTACATCATCGTATTTCTCTACAATTTTTGCATGTTTATCGAACAATTCTGTTTCTGAATCAACATCATTATCAACAACAACAGCGTCAGTATTATTAACACTTATGCAATGTTCAATCGTTTTCATGAGATGATTCGGCTGATTAATAAGAGCCTCACTTTCAGAACATTGAACGTTGCCCTTATCGCTTGCCAGAATGTAACCCATAGAAAGAATAACAGACAGTCGTACCATTCTTGCGGTTGGATTAGGATTAAATCTTCCGCGTTGTCGAAGTTTTGAAAACAAATGTTTCACTGAATCTTGATTACATAAACCTGTTGCAAATTCAAACTTATCATATTTACGTGAAAGTATCTTATACAAAGTAAGAATAGCTTGTGTTGTAATCACGAAACCTTTGAAGCATGGAACTTGAAATACTTTATTCGGAAATTTTGATCATCCTGAACACCACTGCACAAAATTAGTCAAAAGTATTTCAATATCAGGATTTTTTTGGGATAATGGCCGTTTTCCACCAAATTTAACTTTAAGGCTATAAGAATTGCAAGCATCTATTACGTTATTCATATATTCAGCAAAATCAGCCGTAGCTTTCCATGTATTGATTAGAATCTAATTCTTTTTCATCACCGGCTATTTTAATTGCAGCTGCGAATTTATTACTAAATAATTGAAACGCTCTTTTCACGTTCATTGCTTCAAAACTATTTGGACGAATGTGTGCCTCTGTTATATGGGATAATAAATTTGAGCCTCCATTTGTAGCATTATCGATACACCACGTCTTAATAAAATCTGAATATGATGCAATTATTTCCCCGTTGCAATATATCTTATCATGTGTTCTAAGGAAACTAGCTAATCTTTTAACTAAGTGCGGGAAGTCGAAGGAAGCATAATAGTTTTTATTTTTATATATAAAGAATGGTGTTTGTACTTCAACACCGAGTTGACTAAACGCAGCTTGATTGTGTACACCTTGATCACATGTCACGAGTTGCACATCAGCACCTGTTTCATTTAATTTGTCTAAACAAATCTTCACTAATTCAACTATTTCCTTTGATTTTAAAGCATTTCAACAAGGAAATACGCTAAAGGTTGTCGCCACGGATGATGTGCATTCAAACTATCAAGGCAAAGCACAAATACGCACTTAGCTCTTTCGTTTCTTCTACCTAGAGGTCCTAGATCGACAAGACCTTCTATTTCATCTAATTTTAAAGAATATTCCTCATAACTTTTTATATACATTTCATCCCATTTTAAGGCACACACTCGTTCCTTCTGAGGTATTTGCGATATTTTTTCTTTTAATTTTTTAAATAAAAATCGCAAAATCCCGGTTTTATATCATACTCTTCTAACCATCTTCTAACTATCTTCTAACCATCTTCTAACTGTTCGCTGTCTGGGAAAATTGCAACCTGCTTTCTTTAAGCGACAAAATGCTGACGCTGAATAATAATATAATTGCTTAGAAAGCATTTTTTCTTCCTCTTGTAACGGCCGAACTCCGCGGTTCGGTCGTCGCTACGCGCGTTTCGCGCGTTTCGCGCGGATAATGCTCGTCGGAGTCCGAGTTCGAGGAGGAGTAAAGCAGCGAGACACTTGAAAATGGCAATAGAAATAACTTAGCTTTATTCTACGCTTACTGAGATACAAGAGTTCGGTCCCGAAGGCGTTGTCGCGGGCCGCGTCTATTAGGCGCATCGGTACGGTACGGTGCAGTACGGTGAGCGGTACAAGCGCGCGTACGGACGGATAGGCCGCGCGGAAGGCGGGGCCTATTACGTGACGCGTGTAGACGGTAACGACGGTAACGGCGCGGTGATCGGTCTCGCTTCGCGACGCTGGGCGTCTCGGACAATTATCGCCCAATACTCGTCTCACAATCGCTCGCGTATAGATGGTCACCGAACCGGAGATTTCGACTCTCGGACGAACGCACGCACGCAAGTCGCGGAATACGCGAAGTGATTTCGTCCGTCGGGGCCGAGGACTCTCGACAGAGAAGGCGTACGCACCTTCCCTTTTCCCTACGTTCGCGGAGGAAAGCGACCAAGTGCTGCGGACACTCAGTGGAGACGGCGGACACACCGTCCCGGGTTCTTGGTCGCTAGACGGATCGCCTAAAGGCTGAGTACGCTCAGCGGAGTTCGCCGACGGACGAACCCCTGACTCAAGGCGGCGGGTAAAGGCGAGAGACTGTCGAGTACGCTCGACTGAGCACGCGCACGCACGAGCCCAGGAAGACGGGAGACGGCCAAGTATCGAGTACGCTCGATCGAGACTGCGGACGCACAATCTCGTTTGCTTAGTCGTCGGTCGGGTAGTCGGAATACGGAAAGCAGAGCGAAACGGTCCGGATATTCTCTCTTTCGGCATACAAGCGTCTAGATCGAATCGGCGGTACGGGTCGGTCTGGTGTCTAGAAGCTCGATCGCCGCCGTTTTATAGTTGATCGCGCTACAATTGATACGGCGGCGATCGAGCGGCGCGCCTATCGGCGCGAGGCACGGCGACGGCGCGTGATCGCGGCCGCGCGTGATCGCCGCGGCGCGCGATAGCGGCGGCGCGAGATAGCAACGGCGCGATCGTTTCGATAGCTTAAGGTGGCGCAAAGCGTCGTTCTTCGGCCCGACAGGTGGTCGGTCGGGCCGGTAGTAACGAGGTGCATCTGCGCCTCGTTACACTCTGTATATTGTGTGTGCGGAATATGCAGTTGCAAATGTATCATACTTTTTGCAACAGGATTAAGTTTTTGTTTATTTATCAAATTCTTTAATATTTGTTTTTCCGACTTTTGACTTTTACATTTCTCACGTGCTTGTGTCATATATCGCAACTGATAATTTAAACGTTTAATTTTTTTCGTAAATTAAGATTTTCTATTCTTAAAGCCTTGATAATTAAATCTGGATTGTTATCTGGATTTTCTTTACTTTGCATGCATTTTTCCTTACGTTTCACATTCTCACGTGTGTGTGGTTCTGGTTCCGAATGCATCCATTCCATGACATCTTCCTCTTTTGCAGTAATGTCGAAAAGTACAGTTCCAGATCCATATGTTCGTACTGCAGACTGTTGAAGTTCTTCTTTTTCTAATATAATATTTTGGTGATTGGGTAAAGATAATTCTACAACGTCCCTTTGTACCTCTCTTATTTCTATATTATCTTTATGTGCAGAAGAGACATCTTTGTCGTACGGAATTGGTACGGCATCTCTACGCAATTTTATTTTTTTGTGGGTTTTTAAAGGACGTCACAACAAAATGATCTTCGCACAATCCCGCAGCTCGAAGGGTATTCGGAGACCATGTCTCCAACTTAGTATTTCCTGTAACAAAAAATAAAAAGATAAGCGATTACGCGTTTATTTCTGACTTCCGTAGCAAGAGATTTGTATATGTATTCCAATAGAATAATTGTGTATTATACAGTAAGCATCATGAAATGAAGAATTTTATGATGGTTGCACTAAGATATTTGGCATCAAGTCATGGTTTCGTCTGAATATAATTTGAAAATAATATTTGTTCTAAATATCATATTACACATTTCCAATTTAGGATTTTTTGTTTTTCTTTGGATATCATTATATCAATTATTTTTATATTTAATAATTAATAATGAAGCATTTAATATTTAATAATGAAATCATAACTGTCAGTTTTTCATACTACAAAGCAACAATCACATTTTTCAATATTTAGAGCATTTTCAGACAAAAAAATTGCAATTGGGAAATTATGAAATAACTTTAATAAAATAAGAAAAAGAATTATAGGTGAATGTTATATAAATATTTCAATAATCTTTGTATTTATTAACGTTTTATTACATTATTTTTAAAAACCAACTTAATTTTTTACTGAAAAATTATAAGCACTGTACAGGATGTCCCGAAATTAAATGTCAAAACTTCAAAAGCGTGTAGAGGATCGATAAAGTAAGAAAAAGTCCTTTACAGATTTGCTCGTTTTAACTTCCTTGTGAAGAAAATCACAAAAAAACAAAAAAAGTGTTTATTTAATATTTACACTTATTTTTTTATTAATTTGTTTACACTTATTTATTGCTTTACTTAATAAATAGATTGTTCAAAATGTTGACCTTTTGCAGGCAATGCAAACATTGCATCTATTACTGACAGCTTGTATTGCAGCCAAACACTAATCTTATGATATTTGATGCACAGCAGCCACGATTCGATTTCTTAGCTTTGCCCCCCACACAAAGAAATCCATAGATGTTAGATCGAGTAATTGTGATGGCCAAGATATAAAACCTCAACGTTCCAATCCATTGTCAAAAAATCTAAAATAAGTTTTATCTGAAATAAAATTTCAGTGAAATCTTACTTCCACTGATGAGAAATAATAAAATATAAATGGAACAAAAGAAAGAGATTTGTGTGCAGGACACAGTCCAGTATTTTGCAAACTGCATCAATAACATGAACAATCGCTGTTATTCACTGATTCTTTTAGCGAAATTTTTTGCAGTGCTATATTTAGAGCAAAAAGCTTCTATTACAACTATAATGTTCAATAAAAAGAATGCACTGATTATATTTTAAGAGTATCGCGCGGATTGTGAGAATTTTGTGTACTGAGATTATACGAAGAAATGCAATGTTGTTAAAATAATAGTTAATATTAGAATGATAATAAGCCGGACAGTTGCAATTACAAGGTATCAAACTTTTTTACCATTTCAAAATGAATAGCAAAAAACGTGAAAATTCCTTTACTGATACAATAAAAAAACATTGTTTACTGATTCACTTTAAGAGAATACATATACGAATCTGCCTTTCTTTAAAAAAAAAGGACGTAATATATGAAATAGTAAGATCCCTGCGAGGAATATGATTCGTCGATCGACATCGAAAGCCACATAACACAAGATCTCCAAGGAATATGCTAGAGACTACGAAGTTTGGAAGACGTTTGGAAGTCTTCAGATTTCTTTCGGACGTTCTTAGGACGTAAAACATCCTCTAGACGTCTTTCGGACGTTCTTGTGATCGCGTGCTGTCTAGGAACGACGTCAGTTAGATGGTTTGCTCTATCAATTATCAATGATATATGGCCTTTCATTACATTCTCTAAGTTTCAATTGTTAATTTAACGATTCCTTTCACAAGTCAAATATTAACATGCTGATTGAAACATAATGCGAAAAGCTCGAAAATAAATGCGAAAACAGAGAAGAGATTAACAATGAATGATTATTATTTTTAATATGCAACTTACAGTTAAATGGACGTCA